TCCAAGGCAAACAGCTGGAGTGCTGATGCAGCTGCTGCCTTGACAAGAGATGCCCCGGGACTGGCGTCCAGCCTGGCAGCAGACGGACCCTTGCAGACCGGCACTCGGGAGGAGGAGCAGGCGGGTGCCAGTTGGCTAGCTGCCCCCGGGCTGCTCAGAAGCTGCGCAGAGATGCCCACAGCACCCCCCTTGTCGTGTGTCCTGTGGTCAGAAGCACCCTTGTTGCCATACATGGAAGTTTTTTAAAACGCACTTTTAAAAAATATGCTGTTTCTCTTTTTTTCATTGTGGGCCCTGCTTTTCAGCTTCTGCTTCCGGTTGGGTGTCTTCTGGGCGCCGTTATCATCTCACCAGCCTGAAAGGCAGGCTCGCCAACGCCATGTGGCCTTCCCAACTGGGCTCCTGGGAGGCTGCTTCCAAAGCCACAATGCTGTGCATGAAGAGGATGCCCGTGAGCAGGTCAGAGTCCCTCTCCTGCCCCAGGTGGCCATTCAGGCTGGTCACCCCAAAAGGACCACGCTGCGGGACTCCAGGGCTCCCCCCCGCCTGAAAGGGAGGCTGGTGTGCGCAGACGAGACCTTGAGGGTGCGATCTTCCAGCTTTAACCCGCAGGACCCCCCACCCCCCAAAAGCTCTCTCCCATTACTTGCTCCTTGATCCTTTTAATTCAGATGGAACCTACAGCTTTTTGCTTGCACAATATGTTCCGCCATGAATTCCCCCCCACCCCCAACGAGGATGGGACATTGGTGTTAAGCATGGCTTCTCCCACTGTTTCTTAAAGGGCGGTCCTAGGACCCCTGGACGTCCCCCAAGACCCTCTCAGGGATCTGCAAAATGCAAATCACTTGCCGGCCTATGCAGAAAAATATTAAAATCCCATCAAACAATTGTGGGAAGCAGTAGTGGTAGTGAATGTGTCAACTTTAATTTTTAATATGGTAAATATCGATAACTATAGCCCATAGAAGCAAAAGCTCTTTTGGGGTCCTCCATATTTTTTAAAAGTGGGAAGGGGTCCTAAGAGAAAAATGTTTAAGGAACACTGACTTATCCCATTAACCTCGTCTTTGGGTTCGCATGATGTACTGAACCACTAACTCAGTGTTTTTCAACCTTAGCAGCTTTAAGATGGGTGGACTTCAACTCCCAGAATTCCCCAGCCAGCCATGCTGGCTGG